GGGCCCCTCCCCTCAGCTCCCAGGGCCTCGCAGCGCAGCTCCCAGGTCCTCGCACCCCAGCTCCCAGGGTCTCTGCACCCCAGCTCCCAGGGCCTCTGCACCCCAGCTCCCAGGGCCTCTGCACCCCAGCTCCCAGGACCTCGCACCCCACCTCCCAAGACCTCGCACCCCAGCTCCCAGCCTGGACCAAGGCAACTGATGCCCTGAGTTCTGCTTCTTCCCCGGGACTGGAACGGCCGGGTGTCTGTCTGTCAGGCCACCTCCCCCTTCATTCAAAAGCAGCTTAACTCAGAGCGCAATTGCTCTGAGCCTCTCCCGGTGGGTGGGTGGGCGGTGTCCCTGCCCAAGACTCGGTGTCCCCTCCACCCCACAGTACGAGCCCATTGTCACCAAGGGCAACGAGGCGCTGGTGCACCACATGGAGGTGTTCCAGTGCGCGGCCGGGTTCGAGAGCTTCCCCCACTTCAGCGGGCCCTGCGACTCCAAGATGAAGCCGGAGCGCCTCAACTACTGCCGCCACGTGCTGGCCGCCTGGGCCCTGGGCGCCAAGGTGTGTCCCCGGGGCCTCCGCGGGAGCCAAGGTCCCCTCCACACCTGTGTCCCCACTTCTCCGAGAGGCCCCATGATAGGGGCTCCGCAGGGTGCCCATGAGGCTGCCAAGAGGGCCCCCCCGCAGTCTCCCCGAGACCCGTGCGCTGCCATCCTGCTCCTCAGCGCCGCGGGACTTTTCCCAGCCTTTGTTACTTTTCTGCAAAAATGCAAAAGCCCAGAGCTGTGCTCTCTGTGGTACTGATCTCGGGTCTGGCTGGAGCGGAGGGGTCTGTGCCCTGGGTGGTCCTGGGTGATGGGGCTGTCGCAGCCGCCCTGGGCTGCACCGTGGGGCTTTCCTCAGCTTCCTCCACGTCCAGAGGGGCCGGCCCCGAGTCTAGGAACATGGTGTGCACTGGCGATGAGCTGCCCATCAGCGGGAGAGCACTGTTCTAATCCACTGCCCCACCACCACCACCCCTGCAGCTCAGGCCCCACCCCCTACAGCTCAGGCCCCACCCCCTGCGACTCAGGCCCCACCCCCTGCAGCTCAGACCCAACAGTCAGGTGGGTTTGCTACTCGGGACCCCCTCGGACCCCCAGTCTGTCTGCCGGGGCGCTGTACCTGATGCCCAAGCCGCCTCCCTCCGCTCCCTGCAGGCCTTTTACTACCCGGAGGAAGCGGGCCTTGCTTTCGGGGGTGCCGGGTCCTCCAGGTTTCTCCGCCTGGAAGTTCACTACCACAACCCACTCAAGATACAAGGTAGGAGCTCGAGCTGTTTCGCCTCTGCCTTCCCCTGGGCACTGGACTCCCCCACCCCCCAAAGTCTGGCCTCCTGCTGTGACCCATGGGGGGCATGTGTCCCTCTCAACTCTCTCGCTCCCTGTTCGCTATCCGTCTCCTGGGACTGCAGTGGGCTCCCGGGGCAGGGCCTTGCCGGGCTGGCTCAGCACCAGGGACACGTCACTGTCCCAGGTACCAGCCCCGGGGACAGGCAGGTAGAGGTTCCTGCATACCCATTTTGCAGATGAGGAAATTAAGGCCTAGAGTGTAGGGACCCACAAGGCCGCAAAGTGAGGAGGAATCTGGGAGCCAGGAAGTCGGGCTCTGGGCCGCTGTGGTCTCCATGATCACGCAGCCTGGCGGGGACTGGCTGGCCTTGAACTGAGCAAGGCTGGTCTGAGACCAGAGCTGTAAGGAGTGGGAGGCTGTTGGGTGGCTGAGTGAACGTGCCGCCTTCGCCCACAGGCTTGGCTCACTCTGCAGGGCCAGCCGGAGCAGGAGCTGGAGTTAGGGTGCGCAGGCAGGTCCCGGCCCACCGCTCCCTAGCTGCGTGATTGGGGGGCGGGGGGCAGGTCTGCTCACCTCCCACGGTGACTTTCT